GATCCATAAGATCACAAGAATTTTGAAATGACGACTGACAAGTCAGGTATGTTGCCAGCCATTCAACTTTGCAATTCCACAAGTTAATATTGAACTCATATTGCACAGATTATTAGGTGTTCAGTGTTCAAGGATCTTATTTGCCAACACGGGCTATGATCTCGACATAGACAACGGCGGAGAGATAATATATGCTATGTATCTTGTAAATATATGTGCAGAAGTAGCTGCAGCCTTCCACCTTATGAACAAGTTCTGTCAATGGTCAGGAGGTGCGAGCCCATCAAAGATTATGTTCAAGGCTACAACTTGAATCTGAATCTCTATTGCTATGTAAATATGTGGTTCGTGCCAAGAAATATCAGTTAGTTGTACGATTCTATTTTTGGTGTTCCTTTCTGTTAAAAGTTAAAACCGTAAGTCAAATATGTTCTTACCAGAGTCAATTGCATGAACATTGAACAAGTCATAACTGAACAGTGTATCGACCACCCATCCTGTATTACAAGATGGAAACATATATACATCATTTGTACATGGCGAGCGTGGAGTGAAAACCATCCAGATACCAGTCTGCCAGCCAGTCCAGGTTCTGAGCGGGGCAAGCGGGTGTGCGAGCGGTAAGCATCAGACTATCCCCATTATATTCTGAGCGATCCATAGGAAAGTAATTATCTTATATGTGAATCTTTTTTCAAATTAAATTAAATTGCAGTTGTCTTAAGTCCAGTATAAAAACCCATTAGGTTGTAACTACCATTACTGATCAGTACGGGAGTTTTAGTTTCTTGTCAGATTTGCGTAGCTCTTGTGTCGGGAAGAAGAGGATGGTTGTTTTGTTGGTAGTTATATTTTTTCTAACACTGAAAAATAAAAAAGAGTTAATGATCTCCGAGGAGGAGCACACCAGTGCCATTAATTAGGAAATTAGCAAAGTTGCTAAGATCGGAGAATAGCTTGACATTGCTGTGCTTCTTCATGGACAGCCTGGGGTCAACATCCTTCTATTAATAATGTTTAGTGTTAACAAAACTTTGTGCCATGCTTGAGAAAATCAATGTTATTTTTTTATAATTGACAATGTTTGATTCTACATTTAGTTGGGTTGATATGTATTTGATAGAGGAACCATATGGTTGAGTATTTCTGTGAGCAGCTCACTGGTTTTGCATTCACTGCCAATGGGTGGGTACAAACTTTTGGATCAAGGTGTGCAAGACATCAATTATCTATGCAGACGTGAGCCACCTCCCACGGCAGTGTTCTGGTCCAAGAGCCAAGTGCGGTATGAGCTTGAGGAGAGCTGCGAGGTGGGCATGGTACACTGCTGATGGCTGCCAGAGGAGGTTGTGCAGCAGTTGTGGTCGAGGCGGACAGCATCATCATATGCGCATGGTTGGTGGATTCTTCCTTGGACTATGAGGTTTGTATCGGCAACTTCAAGGGAAAATACGCTTTGGAACATGGTGGTAATTACACCTGGTTACATATTTTATTTTTAAAAATTTCAGAAAAATTCGAAATATTCCAAAACTTTTCCCAATAAACTTTATGGCGTACAAAAATGTTCTGCAATAAAATATTCCCTGAAAAAATCTTGACAAAAATGATATATATTCCCTGACAATAGCGTCAACAGTACAGTATATAGCGACAAATTCATTTTTTACGCCCACAACAACATGGAAGTCATTTCTTCATGAAAGTTTTTATACGAGTGCAACAATAAATCTACTTTGTTTGCAAAAAGTTTCAGATTTTTTTGACTTTCTTACAAATTACTATTTTAAAAAACAAAAGCTTCAAGCCATGTTTGGCATTGCTGCCCTCAACGATTCTCTCAATCGAGCGGGACTTATTTGGTGCCTTCCCTCAATGATTCTCTCAATCGAGCGGGGCTTATTTGGTGCCTTATTTTAGTGAAAAGCAATCACAGTTCTTATATTTTAATTAATTGTGTTATGAATAAATACATAAATCTCATCATCAAAGTCTTTATTCTAACCTTGAGGTAGGAGGATTTATATGAGTGGAACAATGAGCTCTAATGCAATGCTAAAAAAAGGAGAGGACTTTGCAATTTCTAATGTACGACATTGCTAAATTGTTTTAGGGATTGTTGAATTTGTCATGACTTAGAGGGAGTGGATGACAATGCTGCAAGCCATTAGAAGTTAGGGACGATGGGAATGACTATGACAATTTGGCGAGTTACACAAAAGGCATATGGATTTGGAGCAAGGTGAAAATGTAATAGCTGAAGCGGTGTGACTAATGATATATTCATTTGTTTATTGGTGTGACTAATGATATATTCATTTGTTTATTTGTTTGTTCGTAGGTTAGGGATGATAGAAATTAGTATGTAAGTCAGGGATGATGCGAATGACTACGACAATTCTACGAACTTGAAGAAAACATAGGAGGATTTGTAGTGCGGTAACAAATGACTGAATGACTGAAGCGTTGAAGTTGAATGGCCTTGCGATAGATCACCTGTTAGCCCGTGGCAACGCACGGGCATTCAACTAGTTACATGTACATTAAAAATTATTTTGAGAAGATGAACTAATAGTTTAAAAATATACCGACTAATTACATACCCCTACCTATGGAACTGCAAAAACAAGCTCAATTTTAGCATATAAATACATGACATGTCACATCCAAAATTGAGATATACTACAGATAACCAATTAAGTGCAGCAATGTCTATCATATTAGCAGGAAGTGCTCCACCAGTCTGCAGTTTCCTCATGTAAAAAGATAGTGTGCTATTTACTTTTGCCAAAACTTCCTCTATACCCCATCTTTTCTTAACAGTTAACAAGCAGTGGTAGCAAACAAGTGACAAATATAACAATATGTTGCAGATTTAACACCAATTTGACTCAAACATAGCATCCAAGAGTAGTTTAGTACACACTCGCACAAACCAAACTCTCAAGACATGACATAACATTAAAGTTTGATGACACCGACACTTAGTTCTCGGGACTTAAATTCAGAAACATGAAATAACAGCGACAGACAGCGTAAACAGCAGTATTATTGCCATCCCCCGAACTTATAAACTTCAAGCTTCACTGCTTCTGCTCCAGCGACCAGCAATAGTTATGCAGAACCGCAACCAACAAAAGAGAACATCTGGAATATGAAAATTAATTCAATTGAGTGGCTCATATGGGTAGATAGAATCATAAAGAAAATTATTACATTGACTCGCATCAGCAGGGTCCTTGTGAACAAGGATTCTGAATGTGTTATTTGATGAATAAAACAATATCTACATGTGTTTTGTATGCCAAGTTTATTACACTGATTCACAGCAGCAAGGTCCTACAAAAACAGTGAATTCATGGTGTTCTAGTTGTGTAACTGATATCTAACTAAGAAGTATATTTTTTAGATTACCAAGATGAATAAAAAAGAAAAGTCCCACTGAGAAGAGCTGCTTCTCATAAAGATCTAAACAAATGCCAAGCAACTCGACGGTCCGTCCTAAAATATTCTACTTTTTCATGATAAGCAGGTTAATCGTGCACAAACAAGATAATTGATATTCCAACAAATGACAGCTAGCTTTCAACTACATAAGATCCATGTAGTTCTAGTTTTGGTTGCAAGGCTGTCACAAGATCCCTGCAGTTTTAGTTTTGGTTTAGTTGCAAGGCTGTTAGACTTATACTGATTTCAGAAGTTCAGATATTGTAAAATTCGTACTAAACAGAACATCTGAATTGCACAAGAACTCTGTAGTTTTAGATCATATAAAAACAAAGCACAACAGGACTATCCCTGAAAATGAAATACAGAAGGGTCATTTTCCAAATGATACAAGTACTATGCTTCTTATCAAATTAGCCACTGTAAGCTCTCAGTATACCGGTAGAGAAAAGGTTAATTTATCCTTTATGGCACACATATCATATTGTATATGCAATAGTCTATGCTTTAAGTCAAACATTTATCATTCATCAGAACAAAAGATTCACATCTATTATGTTCATTTATGTTCCATAATGGATTGCAAACTAAGAGTCGATCATTATAAAGAATTTGTAGGTATCAAAGAGGGAAAGTTGTACCACCAATTACCAAAACCACTTAAATGAGGTCACCAAGGTGGGAAGGGAGGGGGGGAGGGAAGGAGAGAGATACCATCTTGCTGGGCTAACAGCAGGTTGATAATAGGTGGAGGCATTGGGATTCCAGGAAGCACCGCCTCCCAGTACACCTTTGGTATCTCCTCAGAGTTTGGCATCGCGGTTTTGACCGCATCAGCGAAACTCGCAAGCCAGACTCCCTCTCTAGTGACCTGCGTGCATCAGAGAACAGATGGATAATTTTCAGGAGCGAGAGCTTGGGTATATTATACAAAACACTACTGTAACATGTGAGTAGGAACAGGATGACCCCAGGTTGCAATCAAGAACCACCGAATTAAGAATCTAAAATGAGTAAAAGAAATCACATACAGAGAAACCCCAACAATTAGGCAATCCATTCCCAGACATGATTAATTCGCAAGCCCAATTAGCATTATACCTCACAGCCGGAACAATGGTGGTTGCAGCACTTCTATATGCTAGCACAAAGCATCCAACTCTCAGCCCGCACTCCGCACCCTGTATCCACCCGAGCAGAACCATGTGAAACAAATGAAGAAGGGGAAAAGGAGAAAACTTCAAACATGCTGCAAAAGCTGGTACCAAGACGAGGAGTCGAGTGTGGATGTGTCGACTGAGAGCTCGTGCACCAGCTGCAGTTGTGTTAGCCACCCGCTGAGGCCGCCGTATGAGCCGGCCGTCATCGAATCGCGAAAGAGGGTGTCGAGCGTGACCGTTGTTGTGTCACCTCGGGAAGCCGACGAGGCCGGCATCGAGTGCCTGGTGAGACCAGATCCCATGAGGTGTGCGCAACCGAGCTCCGGGCAGCCGCTCCCCCACAGCCAAACTCGCAACGCGTGCGCAGTCTGAAGCTCTGGGGTAGCCGCTCCCCTACAGCCGACCTCGCTGCTCTAAACACGCTCTGTCAGCCTCTTGACCCTCCCCAGCTTGCCAACCCTCGATGTGAAGAACCCACCGCCCCTGATATTCCGCGACGACGACCTGCGCCGATCTAGAACCATCACACACGGCGGCGTGAATCCAAAACGTGGCGAAGCAAATGACGGAGCCAGCGTGCGAAGCCTCGATCCACTCCTGCTGGCCTTGCTCGCGTTGCTCCTCGAGAAACGTGTTGTGAGGTAGGGCTGCCGGAGACAAGGCGGTGGAGGAGACGAAGCAGCGAGACGAGAAGGCGGATTGGTGGCTGGGGAGGAGAAAGGAGGAGAGAGGGAAGGAGGGGGTGCAGGCCTGCAGGGGTCGGGATGGGAGGGAACGCTGTCTGTGCTGCACGTTCATCGCTACAGCAAAAGCGAACCCCCACACCCAGCCGCAGGACACGGCATGGCGCACGGCACGACGCACGACCCACGATCCGGCTCTCTCCAACCCCAGATGATATACGAGCGAGAACAAAGGCAAGGCACAGACCCGTGGGACCAGCAGCCAACTCGGCCCACAAGTCATAGTGTGAAAAGGCAGCAACGTGTGTGCACGTGTCAGTCCATCTCTTAACCACCGCAGATGATGCACGCACAGTGCATGCTTTTTGACTTCCCATGCGTTCGCTCGCGCGGTTGGAGAGAGGGCTCAGCACCGGGTGGGATCCCTTTCTTACCGTCTTGTTCGCCTGCTCCTTTACTGCCATACGGGGCCCATGAAGGTTGGCCCGCATGTCATTTGACCTGGGACATCTTTTGTGCGTGTTTTTTGACATCCCAGCGTCCCAAGCGCCTGCTCGCGAGATATTTTGCCCGTCCACCTCCTCTCTCTCCAAACTCAGATGGCAGGCGAGGCACGCACGACGCACACACTATCCATCCGTCAGCCAGGGCCCCACACGCACATGAATCGGTGCCCAGCCCCTCTCTCTCTCCAAATACGTACAAGAAGCAACACCACACACAGAGAAAAACAACCAAGTGCACCCACCGACGAGCGGGACCAGCAGCAACATGGCCCACCAGTCATCGCGAGGAGGGCGTGCAAAACGGGTGCAGATGCATCGGCCAACCCCTCCACGGCCCACCGACGCACGCACGCCGTAGTCAGCGCGGACGAACCACGCGACGCGCGAGGAGTGGTCACCAGAGATTTTCGAACCCAGCTAATAAGGCTGGTCATAGGGAAGAGTAATTTAGACTAGTAACATGCATCTATGAGGGTGCTTGGATACAAGGGACTATTTTTAATCTGATTAAAAATAGTCTCTTTTAGAGACTAAAATTCCAAGCACCCCTGACTAAAGAGAGGCTAGGACTAGTCTTGAGGCTAAAATCTTTTAGTCATGGAAACCTATTAAAATATGTATTAGCTCTCTTTCTCCTCATTTAATTCCTCTCCTTAGTTCTGAATTGGAGGGTTTGGAGGATAATAAATGCTCAATAACTAGATTTTAGTCTCTTTAGTATTTGGATCCAAGCATGGGTGAGACTAGCAAGTTTTAGTCCCACTACTTTTAGTCATGGGACTAAAATGTATCCAAGCATGCTCTATATTACTACCTTCATAGTGGGTAGTATTATATATGTAGTAACATAGATATCTTCATTTATTACTTTGTAGACTCGTTTTGTATTGGGAAGCGTTATGTGATGATAACATATTATGTTACTCTATTTGCCTTTTTCCTCATTAACTACTTGTCATCTCATCATTTTTGCTTATGTGGCATCTAAGTTACTACCTATGTTACTCCCATTATGACTAGCCTAACAAACTCACTGAGCCCACCAGTCATCGGCTTCCACGCAGGACTGCTGAGTCAAAACAACAAGTGAAAATCGAACGGCAACCACATGCGCGTTGACCCGACCAAAGCCAATCGGACGAACACGCGCGGCGCGAAAACGAGGAAGCCTCAGGAGAGCGGGTCGGCTAGGCTTCTTTTATGTTAGCATGTAGTACTCGAAATGAACAAACTCTCCCTACTCTGCCTGCCCTGCGTCCGCGACGGGAGCCCGACCGCACCCACGTTTACCAAGAGCCCCACGGGAGCCCGGCAACTACGGCGGCTCACGCCGGCCGGCTCCCTGCCCTCCTCCTGACCTCTCGTCCGCCTGCCTTGGTCTTCCGGTCTGCCGTAACTTTTGCCGCGACTGGACAACGCGACCGACGGCGGTGCTCCGTCTCGGCGCAGCTCGTACCTCGGTGAGTTTCTCCATTAATTTGTCACCCAATTGCGCCGCCCCTACTTTCTGCATCAGTTTTCCATCAATTCCTTCCTCGCCCGCCTTGCACCTAACGCCGGGGGCCTCGCCCTGTTCCTGCCGCACTCCGCTGTGAAGCCTGCCGAGCCGCCGCCGAGTTCGCCTGCCGCAACTCTCTTGCCGCTAGGGTTAACTGGCGGAGCGGGCGAGGGAGGCATGGCCGCCGGCGTCTGTTGGGCTTTGCGTGAGGTCTGGCGTGAGTCGACCAGGTAGGAGGAGAGTTATCACTTTGATGAAATGCGAAAAGGGTATACAGTATGTTCATTTTCCTTGGTGATGACTTACCGTTAAGCCAAATTGTATAAAAATATGCAGATATAATATGTTAGCAAAGTCGCAAAGTACAATGTGTCATTTATCTGTTGTTACAGTGTATAGTTTGTCTTCGCAAGTGGCATTCTGCAATCTGGCATTTTATCAAATTCCCTTCCAGAGAACGGAAACAAATCCTAGAGAAATCGATCTGTTCTTTCAAGGCACAACCTGCCTTTTAGCCGCCATCTCGTGGCATTGCAGCCTCGTCCCTTCTCCCTTTGTTACTATTGTTCGCCGTTGCCGCTCCTCGCTGGCATGACACCAGTAGGCTACTGCAGAACATCTCATATTGACTGGCTACGGTTTCAACCAACCAGTGTCGGGGCTAGGAAAATTATATGGCGGGGGCCGACTAAAGAGGACAACACATACAGATTTTTTTGCGAAAAAAGAAACAAATGTAATGTCAGAATATACTTCATTAATTATACCACCATTCATTGTCAGCCGCAAAAGGGTGTACACTTCTTGATTTGGTCATCGCCCAAAAGAAAAATCTAGACAACAGAAGATAGATGAACTAACTTGTTTTAGCTGATGACACTCGGCATGGTGATTCATCGAACTCATCTATAATTGCATCTGTTGATATTCCAACCGCAATCTCCTTTTCGATATAAATTATGAGGCAATCCCTTAGAAATCCATCTTCCATTTTAGTCTGAAGCCTTGTCTTCACAAGTTCCATGGCAGAAAATGCATGTTCTGTCGTCTCCGTTGAAACTGGTAGAGTAAGAACAAGTCAAATCAGTCTGTTCACGAAGAAATAGTTACTCCCTCCGATCCAAATTATATGTCGCAGCTTTAGTACAACTTTGCACCAAAGCTGCGACAATTAATATGGATCGGAGGGAGTGGTACTTTTAGCAATGATTATACCAACTACTTCCGTGGTAGGTTTGAGGCTTGGAGACAAGGAACTAGACACCTATGTGAACAAATTTCTCCAGTGTGAATGCTTATATTCTACTGAAACTGGAATCCTGCATTGCTACGTGCTTATTGTTCCTGGAGTAGGGACCCAAAAGATAACAGTTTAGCCTTAAGGTGTGATTCCTTTGTGTTAAGTGTAGTTAACACCTATCATGGTTATTGATGTTGAGCAATCCCTAAATAAGATCCCACGCTCAATAGCTATAGCAACGGTTGAATGCTGTAATACCGTATTGTTATGTCCTCTATTTCCTATACATTATGTGAAAAAAAACTAATCTCTTATGAAGTTACTTCATTTGTTCCAAAAACCTTTTTTCGTAAAAGGCAAGAGCTCTGACATGCAATATAAGGGGAAATAATACGTTGTGTACAGGGAAGCCCAATGCCAAAGAAAGACGAGAACAACAAGAACCAAAATAGGAAAAATAAAAACCTCTGAACTGGACACAGCTGGCTTGGAGAGGCGAGCCAAAACAGCAGGCCTATGTCATATACTCGTAACCGTAGGAAAGAGCGTCAACCTGTGGGAGGTGATTGTTAAGCTTCATTCACTAGCCAACTCATCCAAAAGTCCAAACTTATGGAAAGGGCTAGGCAATCCACATCAACACCCCCTCTCACATGTGACACGTGAAGTCAACACGTGAATAGACTCAGAGGTATGGCTCAAGAGGCCTATACGTGGACACAGAGGGGGGCAGCAGATTTTTTTTGATAAATTGTGAAAGCCAGGACTTGAACTCAAGACCTTAGACCCTGATACCATGTTAAGCTTCATGCACTAGCAAACGCAACCAAAAGTCCAAACTTTTTGAAAGGGCTAGGCAATCCACATACACACTTCAACAGTGATCGCGTCTCGAGTGATGAGGTCTTGTTATGTCTCTTCGATCTCTAATGCAAAGCTTTGACTGCAGTTTCCAACCATAATATGTCATAAAGATAACAAAAAGTGCATAATATGCAAGAAAAATCTAATGACATACTCCCTCCATCCCAAAATAAGTGTCTCAACTTAGTATTTTTAGCTTTCGCTGTTTGTTCTGACGACACCAAATATCAGTGTTGTATCTGCTTATTCATTGAGGCCATATGTTATACTTCCTTTTTTAAAACAGAAGGTTATTGTTGTTGAGAAATAAGCTACCGTGGAGAAACCCATATGCCACATGTTTTAGTAGGTTAGATATTCTCTTGTCTGTACTAATATGGGAGCCGTGGTGCTGAAAACATTGCCATACATGTGTCAAGCTACCGCATTTATACATTTGGCTGAATAAACTGGTTATCTTAGGAGTTAGGATGAAGTCTAAGACGAATAGGGGCATACAGAAGGCAGGAAGAGTAGATCATCTCCAAGGAGGACCAAACTGGATTCTTGTTGCCGGAGGAGTTTTACTAAGCACTTTCTCCGTCAAACTTGGATGCAAATTAAAGCAAATGTTTGATACGAAGCAGCAGAATGGCTTTTCCAAAGGTGTAATTCTCCCATTTTCAGTTGAAACCTTTATCCCCTTTCGTACTATTTATATGCTTTATGCTTACTATGCAAAACTGCAGCCGAAAGTAGGCCTGGAGGATGTGAATTGCACTCAAACCTATGCAGGTTTCGTGGCCAAACTAGCTGCTACTATTGTATTTCAGGTACTTCTATAACTTAGTATATTCTGTTGCCTGCTTCTCATTTTCCACTGAACCTTTAGTCAAATTGTATATTCAAGGTTTCAGTTGTTTATTTATATCTCCGAGTTTCTGTACTAAAGGACATCAAGTAGAGCAAGTGCATATTGGTCTACTAAAAGGCTTAGTTATGATCAAATCGTCATCTTTGCCGTGCAT